CTTCCCCCTCGCCCACAACCCCCCCCCCCCCGAGAGATGGGAGCTGGGGGGGTCTCTGAGGGGCCTGGAGTGGGGCAGCAGCAGGAAAGGGAGCATCCTGGCCTGCCTGGGGCACCCTGTTTCCCACCGTCATGGGGGAGCGGAGGAACCTGGCTGGTACACGGCAGCGGCTGCTGGGTTGCTCTGTTTTCCGTGACTCCTGTCGTCACAGTGGGGGAACCCGAGTCCCGCTGCCGCCCTGGGCCGGGCCCATCCGGTAACCCCCGGGCTAACCTCGATGTGGGGGCCTGTCCCGTCCATAGGACGGGTGAGGCCGCCACCTCGGGGCCCGCCAAAACGCAAGGCCTGGGGCAGCTGCCTTAGACGGCTCTGCGGCCGGGCCGGCTCGGCATCGAGACAACTTGGTCAGTTGGGCGCAAGCAAGAGATTCGTGTTTGGATGCGGTTACATGGAAACGTGTTTGTACATCTGGGAGCCAAGGATGCAGCCGTCCTTGCGGGAGGGGAGGAGGAATTTACCGGGGATCCCGGGAGACGCTCCATCACTGACCATTTTGAAATCTGGACCAGACGGCTTTTTGACTAGCTTTGCTCTACGCGGGATTTTGAGGGAGGTCGGATTCTATGGCCACGGGGTCCCTCCTGGCCTTCGAATTGGTGCACCGCCCTGCTGAGCCTTGCCTGGTCCCTCCCTCTGGAAGGCCGGGAGACGCGATGGAATAAGCAGATTCCGTGCAAGCAGCTCAGCCCTAGGAGCGTCACCCACTGCAGTCTCAGATTCCTGACCTGGCCAGCTCTTGCCAAGGCATCTGGCTTTGCAAATTCCCTCTCTCTCTGCCCTTCCTTTGCACCTGCTTTGTCAGTGCATCTCAGTCCTCCCGGGAGACGCCCTTGTGCTTTCAGCCTGGGCCCCTCCATCTCTGTCAACAGATCCTAGGATCCTAGAATCCTAGAACAGGAAGGGACCTCGAGAGGTCAAGTCCCGTCCCCTGCCCTCATGGCAGGACCAAGCACATAAGAACAGTGGAATGGCTACACTGGGTCAGACCAAAGGTCCATCTTGCCCAGTGTCCTGGCTGCCAACAGCGGCCAATGCCCGGTGCCCCAGAGGGAGGGAACAGAACCGGGAATCATCAATCTGTCGCCCATTCCCAGCTTCCAACAGAGGCCAGAGACACCGTCTTACCCATCCTGACTAATAGCTGTTGATGGACCTAACCTCCATGGACTTTTCTAGCTCTTTTCTGAACTCTGTTCAAGTCCTGGTCTTCACCACATCCTCTGGCAAGGAGTTCCACAGGTTGATTGTGTGCTGCGTGAAGAAACACTTTCTTTTGTGTGTTTTAAACCTGCTGCCTATTCATTTCATTGGGTGACCCGTAGCTCTTATGTTATGAGAACAAATAAATAACTTTTCGTTAGTCTCTTTCTCTGTACCTGTGATGGTTTTTTATAGACCTCTCTCATATCCCCTCTTTGTCTCCTCTTTTCTATGCTGAAAGGTCCCAGTCTTTCCAATCTCTCTTCATAGCACCCCTAGATCATCCCCTATCTACAAGAGCGGATTGGAATCAGGGGTCCTCCTAGTTTTTTGAGGGGCTCCTCAAAGCTCTTTGGCCTCAATAGTATCTTGTGGCAGTGAGTTCCGTAGGCTCGTGGGTGGGGCACTGTACACAAGAGCATTGGCGTGTCGCTTCATAGCGTTCGCCTCCTTTTAAGTGTCTGTCAAAAGTCTCCTGGTTCTCCCTGGGCGCTAGTCCAATCCTGTGCCTCTTTTTAAGGCGATCCTGCCACTTTACATCCAGCTGTCTGGTAGTTGTGAGGTGACCCAGGAAGGACGCTCACAAGACCCACAAAATTCATGTCACTCATGACCTGCGGCCGTGTCGGTTTTGCAATATACAGGGTGACCCGTAGCTAACCCACGTTCCCTTAAGCTAATCTCCAGGGCGGTACCCCTGGAGGTTGCGTGTTAACTGACCAATTTGTAGTGCTGCCAGTCCTGGCTGAGATCTTATCTCTGGGCCAGCGACACTGCCGGAGCCCGACACATGCTCTGCTACACACTGAAATCTTGATGTTTTATCCAGAACCAGAAAGTCCACCTGCAGGTTTTCCCCCCTTGCTGTGTGGCCTCTTTGCCTCCCAGGAAGGTTAAGGGCTAGATCAGGGGTGGGGAACCTATTTTGAGCCTGGGGGGCTGCTGACCCACAGAAAAATCAGTTGGGGGCTGCATGTGTGAGAAAAAAAACCCTCACTGGTGTGGCCCTTGACGGGGAAGCAGAAAGACACGCCCCACATTCCCTTCGCACACCAGATTGTCAGGGCCCTGGGGTAGGGCTAAAAACGAGGGGTTCAGTGTATGGGAGGGGGCTGCCGGGAAGCAGGTTTGGGACACAGCTCCCCAGGGATGCACACGGTTCCGGGTCCCCCGCCGCTCCCAAGCACCGCCCCCTGCTGCTCCTATTGTCCAGGATGAGGGCCAATCAGAGCCCTGCAAGGAGGGGCGGGGCTGGAGCACCAGCCTGGGCTCCCCAACACCATCCAGTGGCTGGGTGCTGATCTGCAGTCCACTGGTGTAAACCCAGGGATTGCGGAACTCTGGATTGCCACGGGTGTGGCTGCAGCTTGGTCTAGACACAGATTACGTCTACACTGCAGATCACAGCCGTAGCTGACCTGCCTTGAACTTGGGAACGAGAACCCCATTCGCAGCAACGTGGTAGTCCAGTGGCCATCCAGGGCTTAGCGAGGTTTTCTCTGACTTCTCCCTTACTTCCTATGGAGCCAGTTCTCCCCCCTCCCCTCCGCTCTCCGCTGTTGCAGTTAAACCAAGAAGCACGTTTCCGGCTGCCCGGGGCCCCGCGAAAGTCGCCTGATTTTTGTCACCCCACGCAGACCCTTTACCAACCTGGAGCTAGCGCTATCCAAGTGACGGAGGTTTGACTCCAGCGCCATCCTGTCGGGGAAGGAATCTCGTTTCACGTGTGGTATCCCAGCCTACTGTATCCCTTCTTCCTACAGGCCGCTCGAGGTGACCCCCCCTCCAGCCAGAGCCCCCTCCTACACCCCAAAGATCCTCTCCTCTGCCCCACACGCCAGTCTCATTTTGTTGGGTCGCGGCATCCACCAATTTCTTCAGCAAGGTCACAGAATCATAGAACCATAGAGCTGGAAGAGACCTTAGAAGGTCATCAAGTCCAGCCCCCTGCCCTAGGGTCGTGAGAAAACACGTCCGATCTCCCTGCGGTGGAGCGTTAACCGGCCTCCTCTGATGCCGTCGTGTTAAAAAAACAACTGTCATGCCGGCTTTCATGCCACCAGCATCCAGGAAATACCAGCGGGAAGGAAGACCCCCGCCCCATATGCCAGATTCACTAGACACAGGGGCATTGCATCGGTGGTGTAATACACTTCCCGAGAAGGGTTCTCCCGGCTGTGCTAGGAACTCCAACCCGCTCTCATGCCCGCTTGGCTGTGTATTGCCTGCCGCTTGTTGGCTGCCTGAGCAGCACCGGGGACTGTATGGAGCAGGGACAATTGGGCGCGAAGACATCCCAGGTGTATCCCCACCGCTAGAAGGAAGCACGATCTAGCCGTTGGAACGCCGTACCGCCTGTCGGGGCACCTGGATTCATTCCCAGCAGGAGGGAGTTGGGTTAGAACAAGGGTGTCTGGCAGCCAGAACTGCTGGGTTTTAGTTCCGCAACTAGAAGGCAGTATGGCCTAGAGGTTGGAACATGGCGCTGGGTGTCAGGACACCTGGGGTCATTAGGACCAGAGAAGAGCAACAAAGATGACGGAGGGTCTGGAAAACATGATGGATGAGGGAAGGCTGAAGGAATTGGATTTGTTTGGTTCAGAAAAAAGAAGACGGAGAGGGGACATGCTAGCGGTTTTCAAGTATCTAAAAGGGTGTTACAAGGGGGAGGGAGAAAAATTGTTCTCCTTGGCCTCTGAGGACAGGACAAGCAGCAATGGGCTTAAATTGCAGCAAGGAAGGTTTAGGTTGGACATTAGAAAAAGCTTCCTACCTGTTGGGGCAGTTAAACACTGGAATAAGTTGCCCAGGGAGGTTGTGGAATCCCCATCGCTGGAGATATCTAAGAGCAGGTTGGACAGACACTTGCTACTACTAGAAGGCAGTGTGGTCTAGTAGTTGGAACATGGCTTTGGGTAGCAGGACACCTGGGTTCTATTCCCAGCCTCGCGTCACTTTGCCTCAGTTTCCCTAATCACCCACCACTCCTGTTCATCCCCCCGTGTGGGTGGCCTCCTTACCCTGTTGATGGCCAGCTGTCCCCGGAGGCTCGGCGGGGGGAGTTCGTGCAGGAGCGCCGCCCCGGCGACCGCCCCCAGGAGCTGCGCCGCCACGTAGAAGACGGCCCTGAGGAAGGAGAGGTGGGAGCCCAGCAGGCACGCCACCGTCACGGCCGGGTTGAGGTGGGCCCCGCTGACGTGCCCCACGGCCTGCACCAGCGTGGCGACGGCCAGGCCGAAAGCCAGCGAGACCTGCAGGGCGTCCGGGGGGGCCGGCGGCCAGCTGAGGGCAGAGCCGAGGCCGAAGAAGATGAAGAGCAGCGTGGCCAGGAACTCCGCGAAGACAGCCCGGGCGAAGGCTGCAGAGCGGAGCTCCCACATCCTGGGGCGCGCTGGGAATGCCCCTAAGCGCTGCCGTGTGCGGCTCCCTGCAGGGTGCAGGGTGCGATCACCCTCCCTGTGTGTATATATAGGCAGAACATCTGCAGACGGAGGAGGGGCAGGGGCTTTGGAAACCTGATCCATTGCTCCCTCCAGTTCCAGCCGCGGCTGGCTTCAGACCCTGCCCCGACTGTTCACCCGCGACCGTGGCATTTGCCAATTTCAGGCGCTCCTGCACTCGCTGGGCAGCGTTGCCCTCGGCCCCACCCTCCCCCGGTGCCGTTCCTCTCTCCTCTTCACCCCTACCGGCCTTTTCCGCAGGGAGGGGAGAAAACGGACGTGGCAGCATTTGGGGGGACGAGACGAGCCAGGCTGGGCAGGAGCGGTGTCCCTGGCCTCTGTTTGTCCCAGGCTGGGAATGGGCGACGGGAGGGAAAAGAAAGACACGTAGTGAGGTGGCTGGGTCTGCGTCGGGATGGAGAGCGACACAGCGAGATGGAGGGAGGATCAGACCTGGCTCCAAACTCCAGAGTCTGCAGATGTTTCGCTTTCACGCTGGGCCATCCTGTTCAGAACCACGTCTAGATAAACACTTCAGACCAGCCAGATGGGGTCAGACCAAAGGTCCCTCCAGCCCAGCGTCCTGTCTGCCCACCGTGGCCAATGCCAGGTGCCCCAGAGGGAGGGAACAGAACCGGGAATCCTCATGTGATCCCTCCCCTGTCACCCATTCCCAGCCTCTGACAAACAGCCATCGATGGACCTATCCTCCATGAATCTATCTCACACTTTTTTGCACCTTGTTAAAGTTGCTCTTCACCACATCCTCTGGCGAGGAGTTCCACAGGTTGACGGTGTGCTACATGAAGAAAAACTTTGGTTTGTTTTAAGCTGCCTATTCATTTCATTGGGTGAGCCCTAGTTCTTATGGGAACAAGCAAATCACTTTTCCTTATTCGCTTTCTCCATAGCTGTCATGATCTTACAGACCCCCTTAGTCTCTGCTTTTCGACGCTGAACAGTCCCGGTCTTTTTAATCTCTCCTCATGCCTGGGCACAGCTGTGCCAGTGGGAGGCCAGGAGTGGAGCAGCGGGTTTGCGTGGGGGAGACGCATGGGTCAGGATCACACTGGCTCGGTTCCGTGTGTGGGAGCACGCGTGTGGGGGAGCCCTGTGTTCCGTGTGTGGGAGCACACAGCCCTGAGGACTGCGGGTCAGGCTTGTGGTGCACTGACGGTGGGGTGCAATAGCTCAAGTTCGTGTGACGGAGCCAGGGGAGCTGGCGCCAATAGTGGAGTGGAGGGCAGACATGCTGGGAGCTGGGTGAACGGCTTTCTAGTTCCGTGAATAAACTGCCAGAGACTGTGGCCATGTAATCAAGGCAGGCAGGCACCTGAGGTTAGTGGAGCAGCAGGCTGATCAGGCACCTGCAGCTGGTTGAGGCCTGTGGAGTTTCCTGGAAAGGTTTCCCCCAGGCGAGGGGGAAGGAGAAGAGGGAAGGACTGAGAGGAGGAAGCGCCTTGCTGGAGAGCCAGGGACTGCGAAAAGGACGGAGTGTTTGTGCTGAAGCAGGAAAGATTCGCTAGGTCCCAGGGAGAAGGTACTTTGGGCACGTGGGCTGCTGTCTTGGGGCTCGAGGAAAAACTCTGTTAGTGGCCGCTGCCTAGGGTCCCTGGGCGGGAAGAAGGAGAAGAGGGAAGGACTGAGAGGAGGAAGCGCCTTGCTGGAGAGCCAGGGACTGCGAAAAGGACGGAGTGTTTGTGCTGAAGCAGGAAAGATTCGCTAGGTCCCAGGGAGAAGGTACTTTGGGCACGTGGGCTGCTGTCTTGGGGCTCGAGGAAAAACTCTGTTAGTGGCCGCTGCCTAGGGTCCCTGGGCGGGAACC